GATAAGTGTCTATTTTCAACATTTTCTCATGGTGAAAAAAAAAATAATGTTTAAATACAAACTAAATTTTAAACAACAATGAAAACATTGCAGTGATGTGTCTGAAACCCCATTTTAAAAAAATAATTATTCAAATACAAAATTGATAATAAAAACATGTTACACATTTTTTTTTAAGTTGGCGCCGATTGTCCAGAAAGTAATCAAGAGTTCTTAATCTATATCTATAATATATATATATATATATATATAATATATATATATATATATATATATATCAGAAGGTGCTGGTCCCAGATTTTGACTGTTTATTTTCATTCCTATCCAAATTATGGCCCTTGCAATCAGCTCCATGGGTTGGGCTGTGCCACACAACATACAAAATGCTCACTGCCATAGTCTCCCCAAAGGTCAAGGTAAGGGCACTTGGTGACCAAGTGATCCGCTCATACTGGAGCTTGGGTTCAAAGCTGTCAGTTTATCTCACTGTTGCTGTCTTGGATTATTGTCATAAAACTGTACAGTAGGAATCAGCTCTACTTCTCAGTCATCCTCGGGAAAAACCTATTGTTACTGGCAACCACAGAATGGGGCCTTTCAATCTCTCAACAAGTTATTTTAAAGAGTTATCCATTCATTCAGATGGAAAGTTAACATAATTTGCATTTCACACGACAGTGGTATTCAAAGTATAAGAATATATGTTACTCTCATTTTCAACACAAAGCAATAGGGCAAGTAAGAAAATACAGAAATCTACGGCTATTGAAATAAAATTGTATCTTTTAATCAGTCATCATTCCCATTTGATCAAAACCATATTTATTCAGTCCATGACATCAGTATTTATCACTTTTAAGTGTTACAATCATTGGATATCATTTTAATTGATAAAAAATTCAAAGGTAGATATATTAGATGATATATATATGCATATAATGTGTATAGAACATGATAAAGTCTAAGAATCAACTTATAGAAAAAGTACTGGACAAATATGACATATGGTATGATATGTAAGCAATAACTGTTACAAATACAAAAAGATAAAAAGTATTACCAAATTTAAATGAAACAGTTTTAGTCTTAGTCTTCATTTTTCACAATAAATTCAACACAAAATCATTATCTTAATCTAACAATAACAGTTACCAATAACATTAAGTTTGTCCCATATCGTGATGGTTTTTTAACAGCTTCAGGCCTTCCATTTTTTTCCTTTCTATCTATCTTTTTTTTTTTTTTTTTTTTTTTTTTTTTTTAAATATTTTTTTTAAAAAACTTAAGGATTTGGTCTAGAAAATGGCAGCAATATTTATTTTCAACCAGATAACGATGGTAAAATGTTTAGATCATTGACTCTCCAAGACAAACAAAAGAACTTTAAAACTAGTTGAAGTACCTTAGCGATATGTTTGTAAAAAAAAAATGGCACCCCCGTTAAAATTAAAGAACATTTTCTGCAAAACTACTATAAGAAGTAAACACATTATATTATTGTAATATATTATCATCGACAACACTAACACACACTCACATCCAACACTAACAAACACATATCACTTTGTGAGCTCCAAGAACTTTAAAAAGCAATCAAGAAAATATAAGCTTGAGACAAAAAAATTTTTAAATAATACTTTCCTTACATGTATTATCTTAACCCAGTCAAAAATTGAAACTACGCATTCATCAAATGCCTTATGTACAACTATAAATTTAAAAAAAACAAAACAGGTGAATATGAAAAAAGAACAATCTGCTTACTACTTGAAAAAAATTTACCATGAAAATTGTACCACAAAATGTTTGGCTAAAAATGAGCTAGTCTAACACACTATTTTTTGAGTCACACCTTAATGTCAAAATGTCATCTGTCATTTAATGGATAATAAATGAAGGACTGCGTTCAAGCCGTGTGAAGGAAACAGTGAAAGAGGTATGTTGAAGCTTGAAATATAAAGACAGGGAAATATAATAAAAACTTTCGGATAAGAGCCTTCCTCAGCAGACATACCTTGTTCCACTATTTCTGCCATTGAAAGGGGGTCAATTTTCAAACTTCAAGTCTGAAATCAAATCACCATGGAATCTCAAACACATGTTCCATGCAGTAATCACACCAGCAATAAATGAATACATCTTAAAATAGCATCTTAGCATTGATCATTCTCAAACATCATCGTGCCATGTTCTCAAACATCATCATTCCATGTTCTCAAACATCATCGTTCCATGTCATCAAACATAATCGTTCCAAGTTCTCAAACATCATCGTTCCAAGTTCTCAAACATCATCGTTCCAAGTTCTCAAACATCATCGTTCCAAGTTCTCAAACATCATCGTTCCATGTCCTCAAACATCATCGTTCCAAGTTCTCAAACATCATCGCTCCATGTTCTCAAACAACAAACATAATGACTTATCTTTTCATTAGTAGCTCAACCCCCCCACCCCCCCCCCCAATATGTATTTAAGTATAGTCCAAAATGTGCCAAGTGTACTTGTTTTTTAGTTCCATGTCCTCAAACATCATCGTTCCAAGTTCTCAAACATCATCGCTCCATGTTCTCAAACAACAAACATAATGACTTATCTTTTCATTAGTAGCTCAACCCCCCCACCCCCCGCCCCAATATGTATTTAAGTATAGTCCAAAATGTGCCAAGTGTACTTGTTTTTTTTTATAGCCATTTTAATGTTTTAGCTACTGTTTTTATAATCATTTTTCACATTGTAGTAACTATTCTAGTGTCTCTGGTTTTTCATTTTTATTTTGCTTTAGCAGTTTAAATAGTTTACATATTTTTAATAATTGTAAAGCGCTTAGAGCTGTAAGGTAAGCGCTATACAAAAATGCCTAACTAATAATAATAATAATAATAATATGATGTGCATAATAAAAATATCACTCAGTAAATATACCAAAAAAAACCCAGGTCAGCCATCATTTGAGTTTTCTAACCTTTGAGATACAGCGACTGATCTCTCATGACTTTATCTGTTCAAATCATTTGTACATACACATTTGTACATACACATTTGTACATACACATTTGTACATACACATTTGTACATACACATTTGTACATACACATTTGTAAATACACACAAAGGTTTAAAATATGCAGACACACATGGTGAAGGAAGTTTTTTAAAAAAAGAAAGGTTTTTAAGCATTGTTCAAAGCTTCTTTTAAAAAACTCAATATCTGTCAAATCAATTCATGTCACATGTACGAGTGCAGGTCAGATGTCCGTAGGCTGTAATCCGGGAAGAAACAAGGAGAGACATCTTCCAGGAGAATATGTGAACATGTTATGATACTTGCTTTGGTCTATATTCTTACGTCCGAGCTTCGCACAGAGATTTTAATGGATTGATAATTCAGCTGTTTTTTCCCTTAATGTTAACAAGCATGGTTAAAAAAAAATTTCATGTGAAACAAAATGTGTGAATAAATTATATGAAAAGCGAAAATGAAATAAAGCTGAAATAAAATCAATTTATGGATTGACAATCTTCTTGAGCTTAACTTGTAAAATAAAAACAAATCTGAATTAGTTGGTGTTGTATAAGAGCCGGGACGCTGTCACTAAAATGTAGGGTTAACAACAAAACTGTAGAATTAAATCATATCATTACTTAGCTAAAAACAAGAAAAGGCTCCTGCTGTAATACTAGAGGCAAACACGATTAAACAACTGTACTTTGAAATAAAACATCCCCAGTTGGTAGAGATCTGCGTAGATAAATTTCTCATCCAATGCATTAACACTATACACACAACAGAACAAACTTGATGTCTTTACTTCAATCATGACATTAAAACAGCTGGTTTTTACAAAATGATTCATTATATATCCTATATTTATTTTAATAATGAACTGTAACTTGGATCAAATCTTCAAATCAAAGTTATTTTGGTTACAGATCAAAGTTATTTTGGTTACAGAGTAACTGCAGAAATCACTGCTGTTTTTTTCTGGCGATTTTCTATTTTAGCATACAGAAACTTTGAAAATATAAACTTGATATTATAAAAGCATTACTCCTTAATTTAAAAAAATTAATGGCTTATTGTCAACATAATGTAGGCAAAATCAATGGTGAAAAATCTGTATATATAATACTGTTGAAAAATACATATCAGGCTTTGAGATAGATGTAATGAAATATGTTACTTAACTGGAAACACTCATTCACATGTAACTTGTTGATGTTGTTTCTCTTGTTGCAGATATTTTAAGGCACACAGACCACTGATCACCAGATTGGGGAAAAATACTATTAAAAAATGAAACTGGAGCAACCATAAGCCAAGCGCATACACATGTGTACATAACCTTTAAGAGTATTATGGTCAAGCACGGCTTTTCATCCATCTCCAAGCCAACATTGCTGCAGTTCAACGTCCAAGCCAACATTGCTGCAGTTCAACATCCAACATCCAAGCCAACATTGCTGCAGTTCAACATCCAACATCCAAGCCAACATTGCTGCAGTTCAACGTCCAAGCCAACATTGCTGCAGTTCAACATCCAAGCAAACATTGCTGCAGTTCAACATCCAACATCCAAGCCAACATTGCTGCAGTTCAACGTCCAAGCCAACATTGCTGCAGTTCAACATCCAACATCCAAGCCAACATTGCTGCAGTTCAACGTCCAAGCCAACATTGCTGCAGTTCAACATCCAACATCCAAGCCAACATTGCTGCAGTTCAACATCCAAGCCAACATTGCTGCAGTTCAACATCCAACAAGGATCAGCTGTTGTTGCTGATAGCAGATGTTCTACAAAGATCAGCTGTTATGTTGCTGTATAGAGCAGAAGTTCTACAAGGATCAGCTGTTATCTTGTTGTTGATAGCAGATGTTCTACAAGGATCAGCTGTTGTGTTGTTGTTGATAGCAGATGTTCTACAAGGATCAGCTGTTATGTTGTTGTTGAGAGCACTAAACCATAGGGTTGCTATTGCTAAAATTTTTTTTTTACTTTTTTCAACTATTCGTTTTTGACATAGACAAAAAATAATGACCAATAATGTAAAATGCTTTACCAAAACTATTAATTTAAGATTTGTAAATGTGCACACACAGAATGTCAGTGTCTAAACTGTTCAACTATTTAGCAGGCCACCTTGTTTAGCACACCTGTTACAAACTAACCAAAATGGAAATTTAACAAATCTGTCATCACAAACCTTCATTCTGAAACATTGCATTCTGAGAAATTCCAGTGAAAATGTAAATATATATATGTGTGTGTGTATGTATTATATTGTAAAGAGCAGTTAATGTTTTAGATGAAAATCATGTAAATGGAACCAAGTCTCATAAACTAACAACAAGACAAGTAGAAAGATAATCCTACATCAACAAATAAAAATTGTAACGTGTCAACAACTGGGTTTATACAAAAGAAACACACAGACATCTCACAATATTACACAAGGTATATTTAAAAATGAGATACACTTCTAAAGAAACTTGGAGAAATAGCTCAGCATAATGAATGAATCCATCAAAACAAAGGACATCTCATTCTAGTTAGGTATTGTAGGTTGAATGTAATGCTCAATCTCATTCTAGTGAGGTATTGTAACTTGAATGTAATGCTCAATCTCATTCTAGTTAGGTATTGTAAGTTGAATGTTATGCTCAATCTCATTGTAGTGAGGTATTGTAAGTTAAATGTAATGCTCAAACTTTACATGGACAGCGTGGCATGAAATGTTTACAAATGAACTGAAGATTTATTTTTTTTTTTTCAATTTGAATTTCAGTGGTTAAGCAATTTAAAAGTTAATTAAAAATGTTAATACATTGTCGTGGTGTTTGTAAGATTTAACAGCTGAACAACATGGACGGCGAAATAACATTAGCTGTGTATAAGTCAAAGATGAATAAAACTGGAAAAAAAATATAAAAAAATTAAAACTTGTGTAAGATTGGTTGAATTTTTGTCACAAGAATTACATTAAATTTTAAATATTTGTCTGCTTTGCCTCATCTGGCTGATTTGTATAATAGAATGCTAGTTGTTTTACATGACATAACACATTTTTATTTGTTTCATTTTTGCAAAACACTGCAAAAATCATGTGTAGCAATAGCTGCCTACACCCTGCTTGAAGCATTTTTAGATCCACTTGGAGGGTCACTTCCTCTGCGCTCATTTCTCCCAGGTCTCCTCCCCGCTGCAGGCTTCTCTCCCTTGCCATTGTTATCTCCCTTGCTGGCTGGTTTCGAAGGTATGAATGACACCAAAGGCTCACTCTGGGTTTCAGAATCATCCAACTGGTTCAAGGCACTCTGATCAGCTCCGGACGTGTCCAGCCCCATCTGTCGTTCAAGTTTATGCTTGCTGCTGGACCTGGTGACCCCCCTGGCTAACTTCTTCCCATCCGTGCCCATCATGGGCTGGGCTTCATTTTCTTCCTCCTCAAACACAGAGTCCAGCTGAAACCCGGGGGATCTTGGCGAGAGGGTGTCATCGCTGAGAGGGTCATAGGACCCCAGTCGGCCAGAGTTGCCCAAGTCGACGGTTAAGGCATGGCGGACTGGAGCCTTATGGGTGTGGCCTCTCTCCTCACAGACCTGGGCATCCGAATCTGACCACGATTTACGCCTCACTTGTGGCGAGCCCTGTTCACTCATCAATCTTTCCAGACGCCTGTTCCTGTTGGACTTTTTGCGAATCTCTGTGTGTAAGTCTGCTTGCAAGGTCAGGTTTCTATCATATTTAGTGATGGCCTGTGGGTGGAATGGTAAATAATATTACACAAAGGTAACCTATGTTGGATTGAAAGTGCATCAAATAAACACAAGGATCTGATAGAAGTTATCAACTTCAGTAGTTTCTTCTTCTTATGCCTTTTTACCCCGTCTGGGGCATAGGACGTCCACAAGAATTATGTTAATAAAAAATTTAAAAAAGCAATTTAAAAGTTAATTAAAATATGGTGATACAGGCAGTTCTTTGTCATAGAGTTTGTAAGATTTAACAGCTGAACAACATGGACGGTGAAATAACATTAGCTGTGTATAAGTCAAAGATGAATAAAAGTGGAATGTCTAAATAAAAAATTTATTTATATATGGTGGACTGAATGTGCTATTTAGATCACAATACCTTCAATTAAAATTCTAAATATTTCAAAACAAAAATTGTTGTGGAGCAAGTAAAACTGAATACAGACTTCCAAACACGATATGCAAACAGTTTTTAAAAGTCAAAGCAGAGATGTCATTGACAAAAGTTGTTTCTTTTTGTAACCTTAGTGCTGAGACCACAGCCAACCCTTATTCTAAGAAGGCTATATGTGAAGTACAATGCACGTTCAATATTCCACAGACTGGAAAATCTTTACACAACAGTTATATTTACCATTCTGGAATTGCGCTGTGACATCAGCAAACCTCTAAGGCCCTTGGCATCAATCTGGTGTTTTGGTTCATTCAGAGACATGGAGCGAATAATTTTGCCTTTTCTCATCACAACTGGAACAGAACACACAAGAACTGATTAGAGAACATGATATTTTTAGCAACACGGATAACACGGTTGGAACCACTATGGAGTGTATTTAATGAGAAATAAATTAAGAAATTGATGGGCTTCAAAGAGTCAGAAAATAAAGTAAGAAATAGGTGGACTTAAAAGAGTCAGAAAATGAAGTAAGAAATAGGTGGACTTCAAAGATTCAGAAAGTAAAGTAAGAAATAGGTGGACTTCAAAGATTCAGAAAGTAAAGTAAGAAATAGTTGGACTTCAAAGAGTCAGAAATTAAAGTAAGAAATAGGTGGGCTTAAAATAAAGTTGTTTAATGCACCTGGGTCTAGTTCAATTGTAATGGCAGGTGTAGCTGGTGCCGAGTAGCTGATTGTCTTGCGTGGCTTGTCTGTGACGTGGGTTGGGTAAGGCACAGTCATGGGGTGATGACCACTTGCCAGTGATGACAACAGCAACTCAGTGTTGACATGTGGTCTGAAAGAAAAGAAAAAGTGTAAAATAAATCTTTTATAAGGCAGTACCTATGTGTCACATAACAATACCATGATGGCTGCGTCACATAGCCAAACCATGATGGCTGTGTCACTTAACAGTACCATGATGGCCGTGTCACATAGCAACACCATGATGGCAGTGACGCAAAAACATCACAATGGTTGCCAGAGTAGCTGGAACAAAGACACATGTCTTACTCAAGAAGTAAACATGTCAAATTGGAACCTATGAACTTGATTTGGAATCTTAAATCAGATATTTTTTAGATAACATACTACATAGCATCTGTACTAACAAACTCCTGTTATCTAAGAGGTTGGAGGCAATTGTAACAAACATATTTAAAGAATGGTGAGTTCATCCATTTTGTCTCATACTTTGAGGGCCAAATCTACTTCATTGAGTTTCCTATATCACTTGAAAAAAAAAAAAAAATCCTACTGAGACAATGAAATGAATGATTATGCTTTAGCTTTTCAGATAAGTAGAATTAAACATTTAAACTCCTGTTATCTAAGAGGTTGGAGGCAATTGTAACAAACATATTTAAAGAATGGTGAGTTCATCCATTTTGTCTCATACTTTGAGGGCCAAATCCACTTCATTGAGTTTCCTATATCACTTGAAAAAAAAAAAAAAATCCTACTGAGACAATGAAATGAATGATTATGCTTTAGCTTTTCAGATAAGTAGAATTAAACATTTTTGTTTCAACTCAGTGACTTTCATTATGGGCTTTTGAGTTGTTTACAAGTAATTCACACAATTCCTGTTACTTCCCCTGCACCAAAATTATTTGTGATTTTATTCAGGTTTTTTTCTGAACAATTCCCCAAAACTATTTTTAGTTCTTGATTAAAAAATTGCATGAAACTTGTACTAATGTTGACTGCATTTGCAGCACTTTGAAAAAAATCGTATCTAATTACATCTAAGCTTGGCTCATGCAGAAGAAAGGAAAACAACACTGAAAAACTCTTTGTTAGACCACAACTCAATGCTTCTTAAATGTCGCTGTCGGAATAAAAGAAGTATTTCAAATGCTAAAAATAAAGGACCGAGTCGAAATCTAAACCGTCTGTGATTGTTGGTTCAGTGTTATTTCAGTTGATGAACTGGGACACTGCATACGTCACACCCAAAACTAAATACATTTTTTTTTAGGGTTCCATGGTTATAGAGTTGGTGGAGCAAGTTAATGACAAGACAAGGAAATTTGGTTTTGTTTTGTATTTTAATTTAGGCTACCATAACGCCAATCAAAGTTGAACACGTTACTGCCCATGATGATACAAAAGTATTTTACTTTTTAAAAAAATTAATTTAGGACATACATCGGCTTTGGAATTTTTTTGCTTTTTTTCTGTACAAAGTGGCATCTCATTGCTTGAAAAGAAACTTGATATTCAAAATATGTAACAAAGGAATGCGCCAGCCAAGCCTTAACTCCAAAAGAGTTCGTAAATGACTCAGAGACTTTGAAAGTGTGGCTAAAAAAAAATTAGCCTGACAGGTAAATGATTGTGTTGCTGCACTCTAATTCAAACAATTCAAAACTAAAGTAACTAAAAAACAAAAATTGTGTTGGGCTCATCACAGTGGCCAGGTTATCTCACTTACGGTCTTGATATGCCATGCAGGTACAGATATCAATAATTTTACAACATATGACACAAGACTAATTAAATAGTATGATGATTAATTCAAACACAGTTGAAACATTTGACACATTTCCATCACTAGTTTATGCATGTCCCATTACTAGCTATAGAGAATAAACTAAAAATTCATGAGGCAAAAAAAAAATATAAAAAAAAAAATAATGTTATAAATAAAGGAGAAATTTGTTAAAGTTATGGACTATTCTAAAGGAAAGACTTGACTTGTGGGACAAGATTGGAGAAGTTTAAGGACAATAAAAATGATTTGGTGTTTAAACCTCAAGACCATTGATTGCACTTTCAATGAATGATAATTTCTAATTAACTTTTATAACTATCAAGCACTTACACAATGTATAATTTTTTAAACCAAAAATTCCTGTTCTCGTCAAGTCAAAATAGTTCAACTAATGAATAATCAAGATGTGAACACAAGGGGCAAAAACATTAAAAACAAAATCTCCAAAATTTAAACAAAAGTTAAAACTATAAGGTGAAACAAGGCTTGGATTTAACGCTTTTTATAATATCAAAATAAGTGTACTGATTTTTGACATATTATACTTTTCTTACTTAATAAAACAGATTATTCTAACTTTGGGGGTGGAGGGGGTTGGTGGTGGTGTTCATTAATGCTCATGACTTTGTTTTATCAATTAAAAAAAAAGAAATGGAATACAAACAAAATAATTAAAAAGAAAGGCAACGGAATAAGACAGGTTTCTAACAGAAAATAATTTACAGTGGAAAGGAAAACAAGTATTTGAAAAAAAATAATGTTATAATATGAACCCTTTCCATGGGTCTGCAGCTGATTAAAAAACTTTTTAACAACATAAGGTTGCTTTAACAAATAATTTAAAAGATAATTTAATTTACAAAAATCAAGTCAATTAAGCTGGAAAAGGAATTTAAACATTTTTTTTTCTTTTTTAAATACTTGTTTAATAAACCGCTTAATTAAAAACAACAAAGAAATGGGGAAAAACAACTTCATATTTTAACAAGTGCTACAGCCACCTTGGCAGAAGATCTAACTTTTTTAATCTCAGGTGGAATTTGTATCTCCCTTTAATCGTCCGGCGCCAGCTAAGGAACAGGGAGGAAAATGGTCCAATAAAGAAAATGAAAAAGAGGTTGAATCTTATTTAATTTTATCATGAATTATTTAACACCAAGCCACATTCAGAAAAATAGTAGAAATTAGGAAATAAAATACTAGCCCTTCTTCAAGGTGACATGAACAATTTGAACAAATTTATACCATCCAGAAAATAATTAGACTTATTTTCCAACTCAGCCATTGTTCACCGCCACTAATAAATCACACTCTAAATCAAGTCAATTTTTAGGTAGGATACATGAATGAATATATATATATAAAATGTAAATTTAATTTTAACATGTATGAATGTTTTTTGGGGGGTTTTTTGACCGATGAAGTAATTTTTCAAAACGTTTACATATTCGGTATAATCATTACTAAAGCTGAATCTATATTGTTTTATGGACACAAATTGTTTGTGTCTCATCAATCTAAATAAAACCAATACCAATTCAAAGCAACCGGCCCCTCCCCCCCCCCCACACCCCACCCAGCCCCACTGCATTAAATAGGACTATGTTTAATTCTAATGATATTAAATAGTTGATGTACTGGTTTGTGCAATTTTAGGCAAGCTGCGTTTGTACATCAATGGTGGATAATTTAAATGGCCTGAGCCCCTCCCCCCCCCCCCCACACCCCACCCAGCCCCACTGCATTAAATAGGACTATGTTTAATTCTAATGATATTAAATAGTTGATGTACTGGTTTGTGCAATTTTTAGGCAAGCTGCGTTTGTACATCAATGGTGGATAATTTAAATGGCCTGGTCCAACACAAAATTAGCTGAACAGGCCCAACAGGTTTATTTTATCAAATTTTATTAAGAAAACTGTGGATGAAAAGTATAGGGCATTTTTAAGGAAATATATAGCAAAATAGCTAGGGGCTGAAGCTAGGCTAGAATGAATGAAAACTATGTTACTAACAACATAAACTGAGATATCATGCCTGTTTGACAGCTCTAGAGTGAGTCCGTCTGGTCACCCAGTTAAACCTCCAAGCCATTTGCCTGGCAAACAGCAACAGATATAAGACTAAACGTAGGTGGAGTATGTATTAGCAGCATATTATAAGCCTTGCACTAGCCAAAACTTAATCTTTTTTTTAAGAGATGACCAATGTGACTGTCAAATTTTCTTTTTATCTGGATAGATTTTTTTCTCTTCTGTAAATCATGTTGAGTACACTCTTTAGTATTCAAGATTAAATAACCACAATAGCGCCAATTTTATTGAAAAATTGTATTTATTCTTATTTAATGAGGTATGTACTTATTTTTTACACTTCACTGTATTAGTAAAATGTTAATTGTCTAGCACAAATACCAGTTTTTTGTATTATTAGAGGAATGTATTAATACATTTACTACTATGAATTTCAGCTCAGATTAGAAAGAGACAAGGTGGCAAGTCTTGAGAACAAGCTGGGTCAAAGCTGGTGTCACTCAGATTTCAGAGGAGCTCACACTATCAAATACATACCCCAAATATTGTAAAACACTAGGAACAGTTTTCCTGATGTTCAAATCACAAATATGTTATTAGGAGATTGGACATGTACAAGGCAAGGTGTTAATCTTATTAAAAAAAATATTAAAGCATTACAATTTTTAACAGCATAATATTTTGAGGGTCGACATAAAAGGCAAAACACTTCAGTGTGATATCATTCATTACTATGACAAGAGTTTACAAAAAGCACTTTTGAGGGATTCGTTGCTTTTTACGTGTTTTCCATTGACTTACCAGATATTATGAAATTATTGTAATGACAACTTAATTTTAATTTGAAATTGAATAAATATTTCTTTAAACATTTTTTCAGTAGATAATGCTTACAAATTTTCTGTCATACCCTTTTTTTTTCTCCTTCCTAAAACCAATAAATATTGAGTAAAATGAACCCGTAATCTATGAGATTGATATACCATCTCTGGAACCTGTGCTTTAAATTGTGCATAAAACTTAACTCATATTTTTTTTTTTTTTTTTTTAAATTTTTTAAATTTTATTCTTTAGTAAAGATATTTTGTACCAAAAAAAAATTACATTTTTATTAAATATCTTAATTCACCAATATTACCATGCCAGTCTGAACTATTTGTAAATTAGCTCTATTCTTGTTTAAGTCTGAGTTTTTATTTACAGCTCAGAAGAGAGATGGTGATGATTCTTTAACCAGCCCAGCTCATTTTACTTTCAGTACATTGTGTTTTTTGTTTTAAAAACCTAAAGCTAACAGAGTTAAAACTGGGCATCCTGGTAGGGTGTGCTCTACATATAAGTGCTAAAGCTAACAGAGTTTAAATTGAGTATCCTAGTATAATTTGCTCTACATATATGTGCTGAAGCTTTCTAAATGGGTTAACATTAAGAAAGAAATAACAAAATGCCAACTGGTAGTAGAACCAAGTCACTAGAGGAGTTGAAGTAAAAAAAAAAATAATAATAATAATAACATGAATAATTGTAAGCTATGCATTGTTCAAACTGCTCAATGCAATATCAAATGAGTGTGTAATATTGCCACAGAAAGGAGAGCAGCACAGGAGTGATTCAATGCACAATATATATTTAGACCATCTGAGTAAAATGAAATCGAGTGAATGGAACTTGCCGGAATAAAAAGGCTCCTACAGGGCTGCCAACTGTGACGTTTCACAGTTGGAAGTAAAGTCAGAGACAGGGTAGGGATCATGGTTACAAGCTGCCGTTAATGGATATGAGACAAGAGGCTATGGTGGAAACCTCTGGCCAATGATTCTAAGCATGCAGCCCTGAGAAAGCTGCTCCAAGGCAACCGTTTCGTCCAAGCTACTTTACAAACAAGTTGCGTGGTGGAAACCCACTGCAGAAACCCTCTTAAAAAGCGCCAGGGGCTTCCCCGGGATGGGTGGGAAAGATATTAGGATGTAAATTTACCATCCCGGCTCCTAGGAAAGTCGATTGTGTGCACTGTGTGTATGCAAAGTGTCGGACCGACCGGGTGTCCTTGGGATGGGGCGGCCTCCAGTGGAACCCGAACATGCGGACTCGGGTGGGGGCTGTCCTGGCAAAATAGGGGGTGGGGGGGAGCATAAGGAGCATTAGCTCGACAGCCCGCTGATGCCATTTGCTAATGTGATATTTTTTCAATTTAAATGCTTTTGAAAATATGTAATTCATTCTTTTTGTTGCTCTCATTAAAGTCATCAATTTCCTTATTTGTGCAGATGGGAAAGGTATTGAATTTTTAAAATTTTTTTAAAGGTGCAAGTTCTTTCTTATCCACCCAACAGTTTACTTGTTCCTGTGTTGTTGTTTTTTATTTTTTACTGAGCAATTCCAAGATCGCAAATAAAATAACACTCTTCATCACATACATGGTATATCTCTGACTTAAATGTGTCCCCCAAAAACGTAACACATTCCGGGGTGACAACCGGGTCACACACCCTTCTCCTACACTCCTTCTTTGAGATAATATATTTTTGTTATGCTCTCAGTCATTAGTGCTGGTGTCAAAACTGCCAGTCCCCTTAGGTATAATGTCTGGGTGACTGATTTACACATTTCATTTTTAAGAATGGAAAAAAAGAACTGACTTATCATTTTATGTTATGATCATTAATTGTTATTTTGCATCCTTAGGATTTGCCAAAGGCCAGGTGGCAAAATAGAAAAAATGTTAGTGTAGATTAAAGCAACACTATGTTTTATTTGTCAAGGACTCACATATCTGCAGAGTCAACATTGTCCACCAGCCTGGGGTCATTTGTCGTTAAAATAGATAATGAAAAAAAAATATGAATGGTCGGTGCTCGCCTGGACATTGAAGGGGAAACAATTTGCAACGGCACACCATAAAACTTTATAAAGATACTTATATCTTTTTATTTCTACTTATATTCTCCAATTCGGAGGCAGTGCATGCATTAAATTGATCCGTTGTTAAAAAAAAAGTATTAAATTTTGTTATTTTTTTAAAAGCCATGAGTTTCTGGAACCATGACAATTAGGTCTGAAACTTATTGAGAAGAAAGGAACCATCAAAGAGTCGTCAATAAAATTAGGCCATTGTCAAATTATATTGAAATACCTAACAATTCATTGATAATATACAGTGAACATAAAAAATATATGCCTGATAAACTGCAAAAAAAAAAATCATTTTGGTTAAATTAAGTGAATCTCAAATTAAAAGAACCATTATTTTCCTCTTCTTTTCCAACTAAAATTGGGTAAATGTCTTTCATGCATGCTCCCTTATCAATTTTTATCATAGCTTCAGTGCCAAGTAAGTTTCCTACAGGTATGAAAAGAAGACACTAGTTAAAAAGAAACAAACCAAATACTTACAGTTCAGGTATGTCCTCGGGTGTCTTGGCGCCACTCAGCTTCAGGTACTTGTAATGTTCTCTGGTGGATTCAAATGGAAACAGCATGAAATAACAATCGAGAACAAACAAATTAATTTTTAAGTTTGCTGAATTTTCTCCACACCTGCAAGTAATATTACAGCCCAGGGGTTCTTAGCCTGGGATGCCGTCACGGTTGTGAGAGGCAGTGCCAGGGCAGACCATGAAAATCAGGTTTATTTGCATTTTTATCAGCAGAAGCAACAGATGATTTCATGGTGAATTTTTGTATTGGCATAATTTATCCTGGTGCATTTTTTTGTTTCTTTCTAGGAAGTTAATTGAAGAAGGAAAACTTACGGAACTGAATTGTTTTATAATTTATTTATTGGTCAGGTGCAGGAATTCAAGTGGGGGTGTGCAACGCTGAAAAAAAAAAGGTAGAAACCCCACCCCCCACCCCACCCCTTTTTTCAGCGGATAAGAAATGGTATCCTAAAAATTAATGCAGCATTCCCAATTATCATCTATTATAAATGGTTATGTTCAGCACATAACTCACTTCACTATGTTAAGAACATAACTCACTTCAACAGCAGGTTCTCATAGAAGATTTTCAAATTAGAATCCCTTGGGTCTGGTGCTATTTGAAGCAGAGGTTTCAGGTACTTGGTGTCAATATATTCTATTTTTTCCTTTTAAAAAAAAAGCCAATAAATGGCAGAATGATTAAGACAGCATAAACAAAATGTCCAAACTTAAATATAATAAAATTACGTATCTTTTTAAAATAATTTTATGTCATATTCAAAATACTTCAATTATAATTTTCAGATATATTTGGACAGCTGTGAAGCATCTAATGATCCAAAGATGAGAAATGTGTATATTGTCTTTATTTTTTATTATTTTTTTAAAAATTATTCTTTGCCAGTATAAAATAAAAATTTTCCCAAGGTTCTCACCCTCAAATGGTTTCGCCCATGATCCCCAATGATTCCTTCTATACCAGCCATCATGTGATCTGTAATCTGGAAGGGAAAGAAGATGATTTATGAATGTGGATGGTGTGGGGGAAAGTGGGGAGAGGGGAATAATCACACACACAATATAGACAATTGCTAGACAGGGCTGCCCCTTCAATAAGTCTTACTAGACCAAAACCAAGTCTTTTTTTCCTCTAGCAAATTCCTCAAAGTCTAAACTCTAGCATTTGTTTGGTGCTACTTGAAATATTTGATGGCTTTCCCTGAAAGAAATAATTTACATCACACATCTATCAAATACACCGATACTTGAAGAATATTTCAAACAATGTCACATTTAAATGTACAAGTATTCAAGTTCAAGTACCAACAACGACACATCAAATACAGACCTGTTTACCCTCAAACTCTTAAAATAGTACAATATCATCACAAAATCGTTCAATACATTATCTTAATAGTTCAACTTAAACATAAAGTATATATAATGTATACATCTCAAATACGCCAAAATCGTAAGAGTAAACAGGTCTGCAAATAGTACAGAGGCGAAAGCTCATTGAAACACAATCGCTAATGCCTCCAGCACAAAGACCCACATGTGAATGAAGCTCCTTGTACATGGTCCTGTCCTTGGCTGGTGCTAAGCTGATCTGTAGCAAGTACACCAGTGGCTTGATGGTTATACCCTGAAATGCAATGACACACCACTGTGTTAAAAAAAAAAATCTTTGCCTCTTTAAGACAGAAAAATTACATCCGTAACATTTAATGGGGGGCGCAAAGACAGTTGCTGCCCGATTTAAACAAAAAAAAAATCAATAGGAACAAAACTTGAGATAAATTTTTAATAACAAAACATAATCCCCTTGTAATAATGCGATTAGAAAAATAAAAGTCCGTTCCTTGATTTTAACCCATTACATCTTGCGCTTGCTGAAGAGGTAGACTATTTAAGAAATAAATTGCACTGTTATATATAAGACGGAATGAAGCCATATATAGTTTATATATAAATATATATATATATTGAAACAAATTGTTTTGTGAGCCAAATGAAACACCAACCCCCTCAAAGAGGTTTATTTTAAATTATTGCTTGATTCATACTTTTAAGAACAGACTATCACTTTGCACTTGATAACAGCTAACCCAAACTCCATGCTTGAAAATGCAATCAAATAATCCAGTTGTTTTTTTTAGTGCATGTTCAATTTAAATAGGCCACCCACTGAGACTGTAATGTTGTCAATTTTAGCAAGGTTTTTTGTTGTTATGTTCATGGGGCTATCTGGAATAAAATTATTTTCACCTACAAAAATAGTTATGGAACTTAGCCTTGTTTTAAAACCAAACTTACTGGAGACCAGGGAGCTACCTGAACATCATACCTGAATGAACACAGTGAAAATGATGACAGACAGTGTGGTTGTGACAAACATGTCCTTAGCTGGGAGGTCATCAGGATCAAGCAGAGCCACCAGGGAGAAACACACAGCTCCTCTCAAACCTCCATAAGCCTGGAGAAGACACAGAAAAGTCATACACAGTCTACACAGCAAGTGCTGGCTCACATCTGTACCTACCAGTATAATTTAAAATAGGGATCTGAAACCATTTTGGTTCAAGGAGCCATTTTTATACATTAAATCAGCAAAGAAAATATTTTTGATGGCACTAATGTCGTTACAGATAGTTTTTTAAAAAAAAGAGCTGCATCTTTTCCATTCGGTCTGCCAACCACTGCCATAAAATAAATCTAACATCCTATTTCTCGGTTCCACTGCTTATTATTCACTTATTATATGCAGGATCGCAGATGTTTGAGTGATGTCCCTCTACTCCAGTAAACATGTTAAACTTAAGCCCCATCATCAGCCCCATCGGAGTATGCCTCAGTTGTGGGACATAAATAAAATTATTAACATTTAATCTTTTCATTTGGTAATTGGAAAAAAACTATCAAAGGCGAATTTATAAATTGTTAAGAGTACCCAATATATATATATTGTTCACATCAGCAAATCTATAAATTGTTCAGATTACCCAATCTACAAATTGTTCAGACAACCCAATCTATAAATTTTTGAGATTACCCCTACACATTTTTCAGATTACCCAATTAAAAAATTGTTCAGTAAGTTGGCAGTGACAGAAAAATGGTGTGAAAATCAAGTGGATATGCAAAATTGAAATGAAAATCTCCAACCTACATTACCCCCCTTATTTATGAGATGAATTTTTAGAACATTTCTGAACTGTAGAATGCATTGTAAGATATTAGGTTGGATTTACCAAAAAAAAACAAGTAAATGGCTGTTGGACACAGGAAGGGTGCTAGAAAAATAGAGTGTTTGAGAGAAGAGCCCACCAACTTACAATCATAAACTGTTCATGTAGACCAATCTTACGAACTCTGTAAATATCCAGCCAGTTGATGACGTAAGACATGCCAAATATTACTGGAATATATAAAAAATAGTTAATGACATGAGCTAGATGAAATTATTAAAAGGAAAATCTTTTTTTTTCTTCTCTTTTTGGTTGCAAATAAACAATATTAACTACCTCTGACTTGTAATATATATATATATCTGTATGTTTTTAAAAAATGTCCCAATTCTCATCAACATCAATTCTCATCCATAAAAAAAGAAAGTCAAGACTGATTTTTTTTTCCTTAAAGTTTCAAAAACATAATAAATGCCTGAGATGTATTCTCTGAAACAAATCCATCAAAGCTCCACCTACCCCACCCCCCAATAAAGAAAAACAACTCCAGAATATAAAATATGTCTTTGATATTTTGAATGTTGGTCATATAATTTTGAATGTTGGTCATATAATTTTGAATGTTGGTCATATAATTTTGAATGTTGGTCATATAATTTTGAATGTTGGTCATATAATTTTGAATGTTGGTCATATAATTTTGAATGTTGGTCATATAATTTTGAATGTTGGTCATATAATTTTTAATTTTGCATTGAAATTCTGAATAATCTCTGTTTATCTACTGATGCAGAATTTCGGACTAGATTGGATTAATATACATTACAACCATAACCTGGTTTTTTTTACTATTTACATTGCACTGAATATTTTGAAATTGAATCTATACATTTATGAGGAAACATATTAAAGAACCCTATTAAGGACGTCCAAGTAAACTCTATGATCCTCAATTTATCCTCAAAATGATAAACAATAATCACATTAAAATATTGTATTGCAATATTCCAAGAAAGGTATTTACTTCCAGGTAGATTCATGTTAGAAGAGTTTACCAGCGAGATCCCACTACTGACTAGCGACCACCATGGGGGAAACAATAGTTAGATCCCCCTGGTACAGTTGACCAGACAATACCAGTGTTAGCAGCTCAGACAAGAGAGAAAAGACAGAGCATTGTTGTTTAAGCTGAAAGCTGCAGCACACAGCCTACTAGGTTAACAGCCATGACAAAGTTGAGGTTGGCAAGCACTCTCTGGACAGTGACTTAGACAGTATTCTCTGGACAGTGACTTAGAGGGTATTCTCTGGACAGTGACTTAGAGGGTATTCTCTGGACAGTGACTTAGAGAGTATTCTCTGGACAGTGACTTAGAGAGTATTCTCTGGACAGTGACTTAAAGAGTATTCTCTGGACAGTGACTTAGAGAGTATTCTCTGGACAGTGACTTAGAGGGTATTCTCTAGACAGTGACTTAGAGAGTATTCTCTAGACAGTGACTTAGAGAGTATTCTCTAGACAGTGCCTTAGAGAGTATTCTCTAGACAGTGACTTAGAGAGTATAAGCACAACGGAACTATTGGTAACAAAACTGTTTTACATCCCACTCTTGAAACAAATAACTTTACCATTAAACATCATTTCTACACTGTTAAATAAAAGGTTTTTTTGAAGTCCACTTACTGATAAATCTGTACACAAGGCAGAAGAAGATGGTCCAGAGTGTAAAGCCTGTGTGCCAGTCATGATCGTCGTTGACCATAACAAGACCCAGGAACAAGAAAATGATGATCTCATTAGCTGAGCTGGAAACAACAAATACTGTATTTAAACATCGGGTGCAATGTTGATGCAATAGTATGGATCAAGCAATGGATTATAAATCACAATATTATTTTTAACAACAGTTATTGAAGGGAAAGGTATACTCTCAAACCACATCAATCACAATGCAATCATTTAATAAAATTACTGAAGACGGTGACAGTGTATTTGTAGAAGGTGAATGACAAAATATTTAGATATATTGGCAGACAGTTACAATATAATTGTTAGAACAGTTATTTCATATCAATTTGTACAGAATAATAATATTGTGACATTTTAAAAATTTCTTATCTCAACAAAACAGAAGATAAAAAGATAGCAATCAGCAACTTTAACATTTAACAAGTTTAACATTCATTATCCAGCAACTATAATATTTTGCAAATTTAACATTCAGCATATTATAGCAATTATAACATTACACAAAACTAACAATCAGCATATTATAGCAACTATAACATTACACACAAAACTAACAATCAGCATATTATAGCAACTATAACATTACACAAAACTAACAATCAGCATATTATAGCAACTATAACATTACACAAAACTAACAATCAGCATATTATAGCAACTATAACATTACACACAAAACTAACAATCAGCATATTATAGCAACTATAACATTACACAAAACTAACAATCAGCATATTATAACAACTATAACATTACACAAAACTAACAATCAGCATATTATAGCAACTATAACATTACACAAAACTAACAATCAGCATATTATAGCAACTATAACATTACACAAAACTAACAATCAGCATATTATAGCAACTATAACATTACACAAAACTAACAATCAGCATATTATAGCAACTATAACATTACACAAAACTAACAATCAGCATATTATAGCAACTATAACATTACACACAAAACTAACAATCAGCATATTATAGCAACTATAACATTACACAAAACTAACAATTAGCATATTATAGCAACTATAACATTACACAAAACTAACAATCAGCATATTATAGCAACAATAACATTACACAAAACTAACAATCAGCATATTATAGCAACTATAACATTACACAAAACTAACAATCAGCATATTATAGCAACTATAACATTACACAAAACTAACAATCAGCATATTATAGCAACTATAACATTACACACAAAACTAACAATCAGCATATTATAGCAACTATAACATTACACAAAACTAACAATTAGCATATTATAGCAACTATAACATTACACAAAACTAACAATCAGCATATTATAGCAACAATAACATTACACAAAACTAACAATCAGCATATTATAGCAACTATAACATTACACAAAACTAACAATCAGCATATTATAGCAACTATAACATTACACAAAACTAACAATCAGCATACAGCAACTTTAAAATTTAACATTTCAGTAACTGCAACTTTCAGCAAATTAAGAATTGTTACATTTTAACAACAACACTATCAAGGTAGATCTAAGTCTTTTGCTGTCAACAATGAATGTACCTGATGACCTTAGTGAAATATTTAATGGTTGTCCGAGACTTTTCGCTGATGTTGTTGAAGGCATACTGCATCTGTGTGAGGCCACACCCAATGATACTGGGGAGACAGAGAATGCATCACGTTTTAGCTCGGTGTTTTTCTACGATTCTTCTCTGCATCCGCTTCATTTTTTTGCGGAACCAATTTACGGCTCGTGCTGTTAAAGTCTTATTTTATTGCTAGCGGTGGTTGATAACATTAGGAACACTCATTTATTTTGGTTTATCTTTTGATTGGTTTCTATTGAAGTAAATAGTTTACACATCCTCAACTCAAGCTTCTGGTATACACAGTCCCCTTTGTTACATTGATGTGACTTAAACCAAACTACAGATGTGATCCCTTAGAACAGGCAGGATTGGGCAGTCCTGTTTTGTGAAGAGCTCCTATTTATAAATAATATGATTTTTCTATCTGCTAAGAACATATTTTGGGACCTGCATGTCATCATTGAATACTTTTAAAAAAGAGCTGCATTTGTACCTTCAAGAGCTGCATTGGACCCTCTGGCTGTAAAATAACCAGTGGTGTGCAGTTGTGTGGGGGCACAGATGGTGCTGCTTTGTACTTTGTGCAGTTGTGTGGGAGCACAGATGGTGCTGCATTGTACTTTGTGCAGTTGTGTGGGGGCACAGATGGTGCTGCATTGTACTTTGTGCAGTTGTGTGGGGGCACAGATGGTGCTGCATTGTACTTTGTGCAGTTGTGTGGGGGCACAGATGGTGCTGCATTGTACTTTGTGCAGTTGTGTGGGGGCACAGATGGTGCTGCATTGTACTTTGTGCAGTTGTGTGGGGGCACAGATGGTGCTGCATTGTACTTTGTGCAGTTGTGTGGGGGCACAGATGGTGCTGCATTGTACTTTGTGCAGTTGTGTGGGGGCACAGATGGTGCTGCATTGTACTTTGTGCAGTTGTGTGGGGGCACAGATGGTGCTGCATTGTACTTTGTGCAGTTGTGTGGGGGCACAGATGGTGCTGCATTGTACTTTGTGCAGTTGTGTGGGGGCACAGATGGTGCTGCATTGTACTTTGTGCAGTTGTGTGGGGGCACAGATGGTGCTGCTTTGTACTTTTTTTTTCTATCCAGCCTCATGGTCAATATTTAATTTTTTTTTTTTTTAAATGTTATTTTATTTAACATTCAATTATTTTTCCCCACGGTGTCTCTATTTATTGTATTTCTTCTCATGACAAGAAGATTGTTTCATTCGGAGACACTTAAGGCAAATAATTACAAACATGCTAAAACAACTATTCCACCAAACTAATCTAATGTAACTACTAGCATTTTACGCCAATTAGTCTTACAGTACTTTTTATTTTGCTACCACACTACTGAAAATAACCCGATAAGGTGTGTGACAAACTTCTATCAAGATTTGCTTCACCTTCCCCACCCACTAGCTGCAACCCCAATGAAATTAAAAACAATCAGATTAAGCCTTGGTAGATACAACTGTAGATGGCGCAAGTAAACCCTTACTTCTGTGGGTTGAAATTAAGCTTAATGTTGATCTTCCTCACCTTATAATCCCTGAGAATTCAAACAATTCAGCCATCAGAAAGCCAAAGTAGGCCATGGTAAATATAATAAGAGGCTGGGCAACTGAAATTAACAAGTTTATTTTGGTTCAATTTTAAATATGCTAAAAGACGTTTTGTTTACAAATGAAAACAATCAATGAGGAGTCATCAGTAATGACATTTAAGGTCAAGGGTTCTGAAAATTTTTCCTGACAACGAACACCTTGATGCTGAATAATCTTTTCACTGCTCATATATACTTTATGTGACAGATAGGATCAGTGAAATGATATAGCTTTTCATAAGCTTAGTATGGTTCAAAAAGTAACTTATAATGACATTTAAATCGTAACATTTACAAATCTCAAGTCTAATCTTCAGCCATGGATCAAAAATTGGACAAACACCCAAAAAACAAATTCCACCAACATGATGTTGGAAATGCAACAAGGAATTTCTAAACAGCTTTCCACTTGCAGGATAATAATAATAAAAAATTCCTTCTGTAGCCAAAATCTTATATACTGAGTACTTGAAGTTTTGGCTCTGGGTTAAAATCTTTGTCTTTAAAAGTTGATCAGCTGGTAGACTGATGCGGTTTGTGGAACTTTAACATCTTAAGGCATCGACCGACCGTTCACATCCAACCAATGTGTACCTCCTATTTTCCTGGCCCGTATTTTTAAAACTTCCCTTCCTCAGATCCAATTCATTTTAATTGTTCATCTTTGGATTTATCCTTTTCCTGTGTCATTCTATTTTTTGTTTCCACTGTGCGGCTTTTGTCTGACATGTTCAACGTTGGTTTTTCTTTATATCTTTCATCAAGCTGTCTATCTCCTAACAACCGTTGACAGACTTACGTTTCCCCGTGTTTAAACTCACCTTTGACATGTTGTGCGTGCTTGGTAAGCAGAGCTGTGGCAATCCCTGACAGGACCCCGATAAACAGACCACCAAAGCAGACCACAAAGAACTTGACAAAGCCAAGAAACAGCTAGAGCGGTGGTGGTGGTGGTGGTGGAAAGGTAATGGGTTAAAATGATTTCAGTTCATTCAAAGGCACCAGAACCTTAAATTTAACTGAAGTCGTGTCATGCAATAAAGCAGCAAGTCTAAAACTAAAATTACCATTTCATCCTTCATTCTAGAAATTTATTTTTTTATACATTTAAACTTAAAGCCTGGGCCATGAAAATGTAGAACGCTTCTGGTGATAATATGACAAGATGAATTATTATCACCTAACCCCTCATGATGCTGGGATCACTTTCAATGGAAAGCACTTTTCTGTGGCCCAGCCTGTAATTAAGCTTATTTAAATTTCAATTATGTAATTTAAAGCTAATTTATTACAACAGGAAGAATCTAGTGCGATTAGAGGAGAGCAGTGGTTCTCCCCCTTTTCACAAACTGCACAATCCCTAAAGCTGTTCATTATTCAACACAGCCCAAATATCCACTGCCACATGTGGCCATAAAGAGACTTTCTGACCCGTTTTTAGTTTCTCACACAACCTATGTTTTCATGTTTAACACATAATAAAGATAAAAATGTACCTATATCATTTTTAACAACTCTAATTTTTTTTTTTTTAAGAATTTGTTCCACATAATCCCAAATAAACTTTTCAGTGGCCCCCCAGTGTTAATTGTCACCTTGGTTGGGAACCACTGCAACAGAAAGTCCCGTCCCCCCCCTCCCCGCACTGCCTAAATGTACAGACACTCATGTCAAACAAAAGCTATGTTTTATGGCATAAAATGTGTTGAAGACCTACATGTAGCCCTGTGATTTCATCCATCACATTGTAGGCTTGAAAGACTTTATAGAGGACCACAGTGACACCATCTGGGGAAATACAGTGAGGTCCAGTCCGATTAAAAGTAGTCATCTTAAACCTATTTAATAAAGATGTTAGAGACCAAACACATTCTTTCAACACTGTAATGTTATGGTATAAAAAAATCAACTTCCAAACCTACTTTAAACATACATTTTTATTAGATTTGCAAATGTAAGACTGAAATATTTTGATTCAGTTCAATAAACCCACCGTGATTTCAACTAAAGAATTTCCATTTTGATCAAATTAATTTTTTTTTAAATCAGGGCAACTGATTCAGTTCTAAGACAATGAAATGTTTGGCTCAGTGAATCTCAAACAGCTGTATATTGCCACCTACCGTTGAGCAGGGACTCCCCAAACACCAAGAAGTATAAAACATGATTGACACCTATTTCATTAAAAACGGCAAGCACCTGGAATTATGAAAGGGCGATTCATTCACAGGGGCTGATATAAAAAAGATAAATGCAGTAGAATTACATTTTAAGTAGACAAGAATTACAATTAAAATTGAATAAGGGGGATAACTTATCATAGGCTGTAAGTGGAATCGGTCAAATAAATGGATAAAATGAAGTTTGAGAGCCTATTCTTTGGTCAATATCCTGATATATTACAGAGGTGTGACCAGAATTTAGAACTTATTAAGATATAGGATACCCTATGTTTACATTGTAATTTTTGAACCAATGTATAACTGATTTTCTTAAATACATGTCAGGCGTGTCCCGAGGAAGCGTGGTAATTCCCCTGGAAGCAGAGGTAAAGCCACATCTCTGTCTACGATCTCGTTCTAACTCAAGTATACAACAAGTGGCCCTTGAGGTTGAAGGGAGACAACTGCCACTTACCGCTACAGGATCCACAGCAACAATGAGGGAAGAGAAAACCATGATCTCTATAAAACTCATCTCCGCTATGTCCCCCATGGCCCCCGACCTGGCCAGGCCATACAATGTGCCCCCTGTTCTCAAAGCAAAAAACATAAATTAATCAAAATCAGCCATTTTTTAAAAGGATATCTTCATTACTCAAAAGGACCCCAAAACCTGTTGTAATAATAAAGTATTTATGTATGTGGTAAATCAACAATATTATTTTAAAAGGGATTTCATAACATAAAACAATTATAAGAGTACTTATAACATTCAGCAAGTCACTGAAGCATTGAACAGCAAACACAAATAATAAAAAACTGACACAGTTAAATATACAACAAAGTTTACGCCCAGGGTTTTTAACCAGTGGACCCCCCCCCCCCGGGCCCTGGAGATGCAGGAGGCAGCTGGGGGGCCCACCAGCCCGGGCGGGGCAGGAGGGAGCTTAAAAAAACTGACACAGTTAAATATACAACAAAGTTTACGCCCAGGGTTTTTAACCAGTGGACCCCCCCCCCCGGGCCCTGGAGATGCAGGAGGCAGCTGTGGGGCCCACCAGCCCTGGAGGTGCAGGAGGTAGCTTAAGGAGGGGGGGGGGAGAGAAAAAAATCAAGTTTATTTGCATTTTTTTTGTTGGGGATGGGGAAATGTTTTGAAATCAAGAAAGGGGTGTGGCGCTGCAAAAATGTTAAGAACCTCTGGTTTACCCTGTTGAAACAAAGTCACAACTACATTAAAAAAAAAGAAACAAAATTTTTTAAAAAAGAAGAGGTTTCTAATGAAACATTTTAGACTCCATTATCTTTGCATTTTAATTCAAGCAGTGCATTAGGGTCAGAACACTTGAAAGGTCTGAGTGATGACAGCAAAACAAACATTGGGAGAACACCTTTGTTTGTTGCAATAATGGATGGTTCATACTGGCGGCCCCTGTAGCTTCTTCAATGGGGGTGGGGATGGTCTACAGTCTGCTGGTCTCCCCCCCCCCCACCCCACAAAGCAAGTTTGCTAATAAATGTAACCAAAAAGAAAATACAGATTAATTTGATTTCGCTTTTTTTAAGAATCTATCAATAGTGATGATAGCTCCTTCTGGGTACCCTTAGCAGTCTATCCATTAAATGGGGCCTGCTCACACTGAAACAGTGGGGACCCAAGCAGTGTATCCATTAAATGGGGCCTGCTCACACTGAAACAGTGGGGACCCAAGCAGTGTATCCATTAAATGGGGCCTGCTCACACTGAAACAGTGGGGACCCAAGCAGTGTATCCATTAAATGGGGCCTGCTCACACTGAAACAGTGGGGACCCAAGCAGTGTATCCATTAAATGGGGCCTGCTCACACTGAAACAGTGGGGACCCAAGCAGTGTATCCATTAAATGGGGCCTGCTCACACTGAAACAGTGGGGACCCAAGCAGTGTATCCATTAAATGGGGCCTGCTCACACTGAAACAGTGGGGACCCAAATCTCCGAAATAAATGTGAGCATCCTCTTAGCTAGAGTTTGAGACATTTATCTTGGCACGCTCATGAACACCTTCTTATTGGTTGATCATCTAACTCTAATTAATATCAGATCCCCTAACCAAGCAAAGCCATCATGTCCAGAGCTCTCTAAATTCTTCAGTTCAGGCCCCTGTGAGCCAATGTTGGTTAAGGCTCCTGTGAACCAATGTTGGTTAAGGCTCCTGTGAGCCAATGTTGGTTAAGGCCCCTGTGAGCCAATGTTGGTGAAGGCTCCTGTGAGCCAAAGTTGGTTAAGGCTCCTGAGAGCCAATGTTGGTATAGGAACCTGTAAGCCAATGTTGGTGAAGGCTCCTGTGAGCCAAAGTTGGTTAAGGCTCCTGAGAGCCAATGTTGGTAAAGGCCCCTGTAAGCCAATGTTGGTTAAGGCTCCTGTGAGCCAATGTTGGTTAAGGCCCCTGTGAGCCAATGTTGGTTAAGGCACCTGTGAGCCAATGTTGGTTAAGGCTCCTGTGATCCAATGTTGGTTAAGGCCCCTGTGAGCCAATGTTGGTGAAGGCTCCTGTGAGCCAAAGTTGGTTAAGGCTCCTGTGAGCCAATGTTGGTTAAGGCTCCTGTGAGCCAAAGTTGGTTAAGGCTCCTGTGAGCAGGTGTTGATGATATGAAAAGGCCAGGAAAACATTAACAGGCCTGCCAGTCTACATCATGTCATCAATCACACCTTTCATTTAAATCAATGAGGATGTTGTTACCTTAGAGCAGAGGTTCTCAAACTTACTGCATCTAGGTCTACTCTAATGTGCACTGGAAATATCTTTTAAAAATGTATTAGTTTCACTCTCACTATTTAGCTACAGTCTAACCATTTTAAAAACCACAAACAGGGAAAAAATACTTCCATAAGTTAGCTTGACCTCAACACAATTTTTCAGCTGATGCAATCCCCTAAAAGTAAGATCCAAAAAACCTGACAGCTGTGTATATACAAACAGAAAGTACCAAGTAAGTTCAAGAAACTTCTAAAACAATCAATAACGTAATTATTACAGAGCACCATCTAGTAATCATTGGTTAAGGTTTCCACAAACAGTTATGGCTAAGTGAGTTAATGTTCTGCACCTAACCAAAATGACGCGCAATGTTGCAATATGAATTTTTGTTCAGCACTTTGCAGCGACCCTGGGAGTATGCCGCTGCTCCCCGGTGCACAGTTTGGGAACCTCTGCCCTCAAGCAAACCAATCATGTCATGTGGCATGACTCATATGCCATGCATAATTTATTTGAATGGTTCATGCTATACATTAATGATCCAATCGATAAGGTATCACGTTCCTTCTATGGGCGTAATGGGTGTACCATGGTATCTATTAGTGATCCAATCGATAAGGTATCATGTTCCTTCTATGGGCATAATAGGTGTACCATGGTATCTATTAGTGATCCAATCGATAAGGTATCATGTTCCTTCTATGGGCGTAAGGGGTGTACACATTGGTTATACAAATGTTCACAAGTGTTTGAAATGAAAGGAAAATGTGATGTACCATATGCAGAAGAAGTATCTACATGTGTTGAAGATAAAAGGGCAGCGTTCCCCAAATGGTGGTCAGCGGGCCAGCGCTGTTCCACGAATATTTAAGGTCAAATAAAAAGAAAATATAACTAATGTATCTGGCATCGGTCCCTGTTGCAATTATGAAACTTGACCCCAGGTCTGCCAAATTGTCAAGTTTGGGAAACGCTGACATGAGGAGCGACTCTGAATGAGTGAAAGGTAATGGATGCATAAAAGACGTGGGTGGGTATGTGGTAAACTCAAGTCAGGTAATGTATAAACTCAGTTGCTTTCAGGTAGGTTATATATTCACAAACCTGCAGGTAGTTTATATACTCAGGTAATTATATTATTTAGGTTACATTTGCAGGTGTCTTCTCTTAGGTTATACTCTTAGGGCACTACGAGTAGTTTTTGCACTTAGGTACCTTTATCAGTACCTGCCGATGGGCAAGATCTTTAAAATACTTAGAAGTTTGCCTTAAAATGTAGCCTTGAGGAGCTCTATGAAATGTGTCGGTAGGGTTCAGATAGCCTGTCACAAACCACCAACAACAAATATACGTTGTCAGGGGCCTTCATTTAAAATATTTCTTTGTGTACATTTACCAACAAAATTATTGGGTATAAGTTATTTGTTCAACATGTCCCTCGTGCATTGAATCTGCACCCATCTGGCCATCTCAGACTACAGAGGTAAAAAAAACAGTTAATCTAGCAAATGTAGGAGTGGGAAATTTGAGGCTTGCATGAAAAATTTGCATCTGGTGTTCAAATTTATTTGATTACAGAAAAAAGCAAAAGCAAAAGAACAGACATCATCACAAAAATGAAACACCCAATTTCTTTAGGCTGCTATTTGTTCAAAGCATTAGAAGACCAGACCAAACCCAATTTTGCCCCGGTAGTTGAAAGCCTGTATCGGGATCTCGCTAGGATCAATGAGATGATGTGCTCTTGGTGCAAGCACTGTGATGTAGTTGAAAGCCTGTACCGGGATCTCACTAGGATCAATGAGATGATGTGCTCTTGGTACAAGCACTCTGACGTAGTTGAAAGCCTGTACCGGGATCTCGCTAGGATCAATGAGATGATGTGCTCTTGGTACAAGCACTGTGACGTAGTTGAAAGCCTGTACCGGGATCTCGCTAGGATCAATGAGATGATGTGCTCTTGGTACAAGCACTGTGACAAAGAGTGAAATATTTCTCCTCCCCACCCTATGATTATTTCCCTCCTGTCCACTCACGTTACATGGCGACATTTGCTGTCCTTGTATGACCAGATCCCCGAGGTGTACCTCAATGCACGCAACTCTTATTCTCCCTCTGGAGCTGGTACAAATGTAGACCCCTACCTTTCTAGATTCACCATTGCTAATTGTTACAATCAAGTCATATTTCTATTGTTACAACTAACCTCATATTTAAACATGCTGTTTTTAAACAGCTTTATCCATTACCCCCCTTTGTTGTTCTGTTTTTGTTAGTCCCACCAAAAAATTAAAAAAAGATTTTTGTTTTAATCAGCTTGGGTGTTTTTTTAACGGTTCAGTGATTTATGGAGCATATTTCCCACCATGGGGGGGAGTAGGCCCCCCCACAAGGGAGAGAGGGTGGCAATATGAAGACTACTCAGGGATGTAATTTAGTCTCTTAGAGAAATGTATTTATAGTTCATAAAGGGGGTGGGTGGCAATGTTAGACAAGACAGGGGGAGTAAAATTGTTTGGGTAAACTGTACTAGATTTGTTTAGTGCTATACTTTGTGAAGGAAGACCCTTCCACCCATATTAATCACTTCTGTGAGTGAGAAAAACTTGTCAAATTATAATCTTGTAGTCCATTGGATAGCTTTGTCATGTGACTTTTTTTCAAAATGTATGCTTTCAAGGGATGTTAGCATCACATACTATTTGGAGGCCACACTGTAATTAATCAGACAGTTCTAGCAATGTAAGGGGAAAAAAAGCAGAAGATTTAATATTCAAATAAGGCCAGGGAAAATATCTTTATATTATTTAACTCATGCATTGAGCCCCCATGTGTTGAGCCCCCATGTGTTGAGCCCCCATAAGTTGAGAACCCATGTGTTGAGCCCCCATGTGTTGAGCCCCCATAAGTTTAGCCTCCATGTGTTTAGCCCCCATATGTTCAGCCCCCATAAATTTAGCCCCCATATGTTGAGCCCCCATGTTGAGCCCCCATATGATTAGCCCCATATGTTCAGACCACATAAATTTAGCCCCCATATGTTGAGCCCCCATGTTGAGCCCCCATATGATTAGCCCCCATATGATAAGCCCCTACATGTTGAGCCGCCATATGTTGAGCCCCCATCTTTTGAGCCGCCATGTGTTGAGCCCCCATGTGTTGAGCTCCATATTTTGGCCAAACTCATGTCGGGGCAACATTGACTTGACCCAAATGAGTGCATGCTTTAATTCTATCCAACAGCCAATGCAACACCTCAACATTACATTGCTGACACAAAAAAGCTTATTAAAAAGTTATCATGATTGAATTTCAATGGTTCAACAAATTAAAATGAGATTTAACAAATTATCTCTGTTTCAGGACAAAATCAAAATTTAGATGCAAAAAGAAATTTAGAGAATCAATTGAACTTTTAAATATTTTTTTATTTTAAACCTAGGCACTTTGATACCATAAAAGGTATTTATCGAAATTTGTTTGTCGATTTCCCAGAATGCTACTTATCCAAGGGTTCACCAAGGGCTTTTTAAACCTAGTAAACCTAGTAAGTGGTGACAGTCAAGATGCAAAGATAGACACATGCCAGCCTCTGACTCAGAAGATGCTAAATAGCACATGACATCACAAGAATTCATGGCAATCCATGCAAGGAGATAGATGTGTTGAGGCTTTCTATAATAAAAACTGTGTAGTGTGTATTGATGTGTAGCTTGAAGGAACTGATAAGGTAATGATGTAGATAGATCTTTACATATATATATATATATATATATATATATAACAGAAGGTAGCCGCCTGATGCTCACCAGCATAACATGTGAACCAAGCAGAATGGCAATAAAATAGTTGATGTATAGATAATTGGCAGGTTTAAGCCAGACTCTGGGTTGAGGAGTGGGCTTGGACCAAAAGGGAGATTTTGGACCAACTTCCTAGATCTACTTATGTAATATTACAGGATCAATATCCCCCTCCCTACACACAGACCCGCCTTTCCTTTTGCCTTATTTGGTATTTTATTTTTTTTGTCAAATTAATTATTTTTTACTTCATGAGATTACTAATTAACATTTTGAATGTTAATATAAATAACCAAAAAATACTGAAGCCAACTAAACACGTGCAGGAGATAAATAGGGCTAAAACTAAGCTTGAAAAATGGGGTATTTTACCAGGATATCTAGAAACTAATTGAAACATGAGGTATTTTACCAGGATATCTATCAACTAATTGTAACATGAGGTATTTCACTAGGATATCTATCAACTAATTGAAAAATGTCACATTTTAAATGGATCTCTGGGAACTAAGCTTGAAACCATTGGTATTTGACAAGGATATCTAGGAACTATACTAAAAAAAGTGGTATTTTACACGGATATTTAGGAACTATGCTTGAAACATGGGTATTTGCAAGGATATCTAGGAATTCTGCCTGAAAAAGGTGGTATTTTACAAGGATATCTAGGAACTAAGCCTGGATAAAGTGGTATTTTACAAGGATATCTATGAAATGAGCTTGAGACATGGAGCATTTCTGAAACCGTTTCCTTTTGCCATGCGACATGTCAAAATGTCACAAATAATCAAACAAAGTTGGACAAAAACATTGACAAAAATGTAAGTGCCTTAAAATAACTTACCTAGCATGATGCATGCAAGGACAGTTCCCTGGGTTCACAGAAGAGAAGCCGAAAAATTTTTGAAACAAAAGCAAAAAATCAAACCACCATTAACGACAAAGACACAAAAAATATACATGTTGGGAAATGGAGGGGAAAAAAAGAAATAAAATAAACAAAAGACTCTGTCTTTGTAAAAATGTTTATCGTTCAATGGTTCTATTTCTGACTTCATGGTGTGAAATGGTGTAGGATGAGTAGGTGGAGAAAAAAAAAAGAGTTTTTAAATTTTGACTACTGAGAAATGCAGTTAATGGGAAGGAGAAGGAGGGGTAAGCTTGGTTTGCCTTTTGCTCTGATTGGATTGCTCAAATCATTGCAGATGTTAGGAAGCCATTAGTTAGTAAGCTATAGAAATCATATATATATGTATATATATATTATTTTACCATTGATTTTATGAAAGTGAAACGATTTTTGAATATATATGTTCATGTGTGGGTCTGTTTGTTTGTATACTTAATTTGAAAAAAGGTGGTTAAATTTAACAGCACCCAGAATCCCTTGAAATATTTATGAAATCATAATGAAATAAACTTGGTTGAGAAGCACTTTATATAGCCAATGTGGCATGTGCAGACAACATGGCTCTACTGGGCTGAAACTGCAATGATATAATGAAAGCATTCTGGTACCTTGAAGATGCCTCAGTTAAAGCTGGTCTTGAGGAAAATGAAGTGAATACAAAGTATATCATAATCATGAAAAACACATACTGGTGACAACATCAAAATAAGCAACTAAAACTTTGAGAGAGTGGCCACTTTCAAATATCTAGGGGTGACTATAAATGAACACAATGAAATAATGTCAGAGGTGAAAGAAAGGATAACAGCAGGCAATCTGCTCTTAACTCAGGCAAAAAAGCTACTAGGAAGAAAAACATTTCAATGAGAGCAAAGAAGGTCATATACACCACTGTCGTAATACCAGTTATATTTCACTCAAGTGAGACTTGGTCCCTTAGCAAAAAAGCAGAGAGACTGTTCAATGCATGGAAGAGGAAAATCCTCAGGAAAATATATGGCCCAGTGATAGTCAATGATGGAGGGATAAACAATTTTACAAACCAAGAGATATATCAATTTTTGGAAGACCCCCCCCCCCCCCCAGTCTCAAACATTAAAAAAGGCAGACTGTGCTGGAAAGGACACCTCAAGAGGATGCCTGATTGAAGAGCCGCAAAAGTGATCTACAGGCAGAAACCCAGGGGCGGATGGCTCAATGATGTAGAGAATGACTTTCATCAGCTGGGGGTCTACGCATGGAGGCGGAAAGCCATGGATCGATCCAAATGGACGGATGTGGTGAAGTAGGTCAGAGCCCTACTTGAACTGTAGTGTCACTGATGATGATAAGAGCCACTACACTGTATCTAACATTGTTTACACCAAAGCTGAACAATTCCACCACTTTATTTGTCCAAATAATCAATACGACAGCTTTTAAAAACCACATCAAAAACTAAAGTGGTTATGACTGACACAAAAATCGTTATCATTATATCTGGATCCTGTTTTGCCCCCTCAAATTTTTTTTTTCAAACAACAAAAATCCTTTTCCCCTCCTCCCTGAACATTGTCCCATTTTCCAAAGACAACTTTCCATAGCAATCACAGGAATACATCAAAGCCAATTATCACTTGGAACACTATTTAGACCTATATTTTTTACAATAAAATCACACAGAAACAAATTTTAAATCCATTTCAATATGTATCCTTATTTCACATCAAGTTGTAATAATAATGATCATTAATCTTGTTTAAGTCAAATGATTACAAAAGGTTTAACATGACAAATGACAGCACTGATAGTTCACTGTGAGCATACAGAGAGAGAACAAAATTAGTTAAAATATTTCTTGTACTTAGTCTCTGAGAGCTTTACTATTTTTTTTTTAACAATAAACAAATGTTTTTAAATTTTTTTTTATATATTAAGCAGTTTTTAAAAAATGCATTAATTTTCTTTGTGTTCTATTATACTTTTAAATTTCATATAGTTAGACAATTTTCACTCTTAAATCTTTTCAATGAACTAAGAGCTTCAGTTGGTATCAAAGGGAATTATTGTTTTAATTGGGTATCTACAGTTGCTTCAGTTGCAAGACTCAAAGTTCACCTGCTACCCTATGCTGTCAGTAATTTTTTTATCTAATTAAAACTATTTTCTTTTTTTAAAGGAGGCTTTTTTGTTGTTCTATTTTTTGTTCTCCTTACTGGAGAAATTGGCTGGATATTGAAAGTAAACAGTATGTGCTTTAAATCCCTTAAAAATAAAAATGTAACCTTTGATTCTTTTCAACACAGAAATGATTTGTAAGCCCTTCAGAATGCAAGGCAGTACCTGCTGTTGTGATAATATTGTCAATTTAGAATAAATGAGTTTTCATTTTTGTTACAACTTACAGTTAAGAGTCAGACAAAAATGAGTTAGTCGTTTCACATAGTTATTTCAATGGGGGGGGGNGGGGGGGGGGGGGGGGGGAGGAGGAAGCTGAGATTGAGTTTTGCTTAAATTTTAAAACACTGGATCATCCAGGTATAAATATTTATGAATAGCCTGATTGTAAATTTGAAGCTCATACAACTCATTCATACTTCAAAATTCTTTTTAAAAACTAGGTTTTAAATTTCACACCATTTGTTAGATGTATCATAGACTAAATTTTAATTTTCCAGCAACACGCTATGGTCTAAAAATTAATTCAGTGCTTTAGACATTATAAAAGAATAGTTCAACTTCTTAGTGTGTGTGGAAAAACAATGCTATCATCAGTAATGTTGTGTGGCCATTTAAAAAAAAACATGATCAATAAAGCAGATTGGTTAGTAGCAAGCTTATTATCTATTCTTCATCAGACTGTTCTGTTTAACATGATTATCCCCAAGTAGATAGATATTTGCTGTGACTGCAATTTTGTTCAGAACCGTAAATTTCACTAAAATATTGAAAATTAGTTGAAAATTTTTATAAATTCCAAATTTCATCGCCTCTCACTTGCATGTAAAGAATTTGGACTGGCCATTACTCTACAGAAAACAAATGACATGATGCAAGAAGCACAGTCCCTTCCAAAAATAACTATTGACCGCCATAATCTGTCAATAGTTGAGAATTTCACATACCTTGATCAAATATCTCTCGTCTCAGGGTCGCAAAAGCAGAAGCAATTATGGCTAAGTTAAATAAGCAGGTGTGGAATAATCTTAAACTCACAGAAAGCACAAAACTAAGCGTCTATCAGGCATGTGTGCTTAGTGTGCTCCTAACATAGCAGTGAAATGTGGACTAAAAATGCCAGTCATGTGCGGAAACTAAACAGCTACCATCAAAGATGTCTGCATCGCATTTCGCGAATTCAATGGCAGAACATGGTGCCTAACACAGAGGGATGTGCCAAAATATGTAGCATATTCTCTGCTCTTAGCAAGATTTGCCTTTGCTAGTTAGGCCAGAATGGTGATGGGGGAATGCTGTATTCCAAAGGATCTGATGTATGGAGAGTTGACAGAGGAGGCAAGACTTTTGGACAGCCGCGGCTGCAATTTAAGAACTTTTGCAAAAGGAGCATGAGGGCAGAAAACATTGAAATCAATCGGACATGAATCGGAGATCATTGCTGAACAACGTTCCAGATGGCAAACAGCAGTGTATGAAGGGGTCAAAAAGGCAGAAGATGGGCAAAACGAAGCCCTTGCTACAAAAAGAACAATACGTAAGGCCACATCTAACCAGGAGTCAATATTCTCCTGCGAGAAATGCAGTCGAGATTGCAATTCCAGGATTGTCCTAGTGAGCCATTCATTGAAGCGTACATAGATACTCCATCATCTCGTGAAGTCAGAAGGATGCCATATATATATATAAATATATATATATTTCCATTTAATTGCTAAATTGCACTTCTGTATTTTGCCATGCACTGTATTATTTTCTTTACAGTATTAATGTTTCTGTGTCCAATATCATACAATACTGATGTTACAAGATTAATTCAGGTAAGTTTACCAAGGCTATATAAACTGAAAACATTAAGAAAGTCTCTACACGGAGCACCATAATCGAATAGGAGGTTGACAAAATAAATATCTCGGTTTTTTCAAAATATTCTTTCTCCTTATTGCTATTTACATTATATATATATATATATATATATATATATATATATATATATATATATATATATTTTTGGGGTTTTTTTTTTGCGAAATAACAGGAGGGCACTCAGCACAGGTGCTTTGATTATAAAACCACAACTCACTCTAAGTCATTACCAGCCTCATGCTTATCGCCTAATTTAATAGGTGTATTCTATCTTTATATGTTGTCATTCAAACAAGCTGCCTGTGACAGACCACCATGAAGTAGGGCATACCTAAACCATTACAACCATGTTAAAACATGAATGTTTGATCAGTCTTCCGCCTATCTCTTACACTGGAGGATTCGAGGCTATTTTTAGGCTGACCAAATCCATCCAATTACTTTCCTTATCTCAAGTGATTCTTAATTGAAAACTAGAACATGTACACACACTTTGATGCTGTCACAAGCAGGGGTTTGCCCTTGTAACAATGCATGTCATAGATTGGGCACATTCCCAAACCCCCGCACATGCAGCAAAAAATTTCTGATTGATAAATTTCAAATATGTTGATTTGACCTATGGTGTCCACTGGTAAATGATTAAAGGTGAAATGGCTTGGACATGTACAGGAGAAGATATTTTAAAAGGGATGAAAACACTGATAGAAACATGGAGAAACCGGGTCTATGACTACGGTCTATGACTACAGTCTATGACTACTGTCTATGACTATGGTCTATGACTATGACCTAGAACATAACACAGCCAGAGGCTTATAAATTTGTATACCTTTTCTCCTTAAAAGTTAAAATGCTGAACTCACAGAATTATTATGAGACTCAAAAATCTGTCAAAAGCCTATCAATCTGACTAGATAAATCAGGGGTGTACAAAAAAAATATCACAACAGTTACATCAAAATATTACCATTTGGTGGTGACACTCATGGTAAAGGAATGAATATATACACTTAACAAATTGATGAACCACATAAACCATGAAAAAAAAAAAAATTATTATCTAAGAATATAATATTGTTATAAATCTAACAGATTAATTAAAGCAAATATTTAAAAAATCCATATAATGCTCAGCAGCACAAGCACATTACTGCACTACAACACTTTAATCATAAAACAATCAATAATCTTTTATTTGGGGCAAAAAGCTAAAAAAAAATAATAATTTTTGGAATGATTTTGGAAAAACCACACAAATTTAGTAATACTGTCAAGAACCATAACTAGATTTTTAGCAGATCATGTCACTTCTTTTTATCGAAATCTCTACTTTTTTTTTAAAAAGCATGCTTTCATGAACAATGACAGAAAACATATTTGACACTTAAAACTAAATTCAGCATTGAGCAAACTATCTTATAATCCTATCTCCTTTTTGCCTCTGAATATTTCTGGGTGGGGAAATAATTAAGATGGTTTTTTTTCATAGTTTTTCAGAGGAGAGTAAAAAATCTTGTCTACTTACCAAAACAGCAAAAAGTAGAATACTGCCAATATTCTCCATAAATGTTCTGTCATGGAGACTGAAAGCAGCCTCAAGGATGATTCTGGGGAGAAAATATCAATGTGCAATTCAAAAACTTATTTAAAAACAATTCTGACAAAACCACTAAAAGAATAAGTAGACATTTCCAAAAATTGTATGCCATTGAAAAGATAAACCCTTATTTAAGGTCAAATTCTGACAAATATCAACTTCTTCATGGCACAGGCAATATGAATATATTTAATTAGAATTAAAAAAATTGTTTTAAACGAGCATGTAGTGTCGGTGGAATTATGTGGGAGAGTCATGTTCCCAGGGTTTCAAATTTAAGAGGCATAAAAAGGGCATTTATTTTATAAACATACATTTTAATTGAAAATAAAACAAACTTGAAAATATATTTATTTTGTCCATTAAATGAAGGCACATTCAGCACTTGTCAATCTCCCAGGCATACTAAGGTGGACATTTCTGTACCTCATCCATCCCAGCCCCATGCACCAAAAAAACCCCTTACTGAAGGCTAGTGAGAAGCATACTCACGGTGGTAGTAAAAAAATGAAAAACTCATGCGGTTTGAAGAATGTTGGTAAGCTTTGAGATATACCTGAGAAACTGAGAGTTAAAAAGAATCAGTGTATTTATTTTGTTACTGCTTTAAGAGATGGTTGAAAATGTATAATAAACATGGAATTCATCAAAATTCATCTTTAAAATTTTAATAAGACAGATACCAAAAAAAAAAAATTTGTAGCCGTATTTCAATTTTAACTGGGGTGATTTCTTTTGTGGTCAGCATTTACAATTAAATAAAAACAACAAATGAAATGGGATACTCTTCCTATGGCAATAACTGACATATCTTCATATACGTACTGGATGATAGCACCAAAGAAAGTTCCAAGGATGATGAGGATGCTGAAAATATCATCAGATGAAAACCCTAAGTTTTATTTAAAGCTTTTTAATTACAAATTTTCCTTTTTTTTTTTTAAAACAAAAACATTTGAAAATTATAGTTTTTAGTAATTATAATTTTCATTCTGTTTCCAAAGTATCATTTATATTCCTTTTCCGATAAATCTATTACCTTAATACATGCTTTAACCCCCTTTGTGACCGTTATTTTTAGATAATACTTGCAGCAATCAATTAAGAAGAGTATGAATATTCCCAATAACAATTAACTTCCCATCTAACCCCAAAATATTAATTTTGTATATTCGTGTTGTGTATTTAATTGATGGATACGATGTCCCCATGGAGGCTGTGGAATGATTGGTTACCAGGTGCTATTTGTATGAACTAAGTCTATGTGATTACAAACATGAAGGCCATTTCAGACATGTATGACTTAATTCAATCTAATTTATAAAGTGTGATATATAAATATTTGCTATTGTGATGATATAAATACTTGCTATTGTGATGATATAAATATTTGCTATTGTGATAATATAATTATTTGCTATTGTGATGATTTAAATATTTGCTATTGTGATGATATAAATATTTGCTATTGTGATAATATAAATATTTGCTATTGTGATGATATAAATATTTGCTGTTGAAATAAAACAGATTAACTACAAGTATCAAATTGTGGAATTCTGTCAGGAAATGTTGAATGTAATGTTGTATTTAACCATTAAGGCTTATTTCAAATGTTTAATTTAAAAAAAAATACTTGCCAAGATTCTGGAATTTTACTGGACAGGAAATTAGCATGATGATAACCTGAAATTTGTTTGAACAATATACAGATTTTGCTACTGTTAAGAAAAAAAATAATCTCTTAATCATAATTTTCAAAATTCTTTAAAAATACATAGATCTAATAGTATCACTTGCCTTAAAGATAATAATCAAAATGCATATTTTACTATTCTGGTCTATTTAAAAAATTTGTAATGTAAGCAGTATTTGGGTCCCCTCGAACTTTTTGTTTGATGTAAAAATTTGAAGGGAAAAAATCATTTATTTAAATTTAGACTGGGAACAAATCTGTGCTGAAATTAGTTAAGAACTTACCAATTTTGCTTATGCCTGCCAACAGAACAACAATAGTGAATATTAAAGGATCTCTGACTTCATGATAAGCAATTGCAGCAACATGTAAGCTTCCATGCCGCTTATGGGGCTCTGAACTATTATTGTGATCTGTTCCATTTCCTGTGCTTGATATATTGTATTTCAGATCTGTTGCATTGGGTGATATACCTGCTACAGCAATAGGTTCCTCACATTTTATCACAGAGATACCCAAGAGCAAAATTATCAATGTCACACCCATGATGGTTTGTAGCAATAAAAAGCTGCTTTCTCTATGGATTCCCATAATTCTCTAAGAATATATTAGTAGTTATGCTGAGCTGAGTTGATGCAACTTGCTTAGCTAAAGAGACAAAAGAAATTAAATGTAGTCATGAGCAACAGCTTTTCCAAGGTGGACTAAAAAACCAACTTAAATTTTATTAGGGATGCTAATATAATTCTTTTTAAAACAGTTGATTGGCTTTAGGAATCCGGTATTTAACAGGTCATTGGTTTTTACAATGCATTCTTAAATGTTCTGCTCAGTAAGGTCAGAAAGTCCTATAGGGGCCATCCATAAATGATGTCACAAAAATTTTGCCAATTTTTTTACCCCCCCCCCACAAAATTATCCCACCCCCCCCCCCCTGAAATCACACACCGCTGCATCACGCACTATAAAAATCCATCTGTCCCTATAAAAGCATTCTTAAATGTTCTGCTCAGGAAGGTCAAAAAGTCCTAAAGGGGCCATCCATAAATGATGTCACAAAAATTTTGCCAATTTTTTTACACCCACTCCACAAAATTATCACAACCCCCCCCCCCCCTGAAATCACACACCGCTGCATCACGCACTATAAAAATCCATCTGTCCCTATAAACACTTAAAAAAATCACCTCCCAAGGATATCGAATTACTGCACCTGTATCAGAAACATTGCCCTAAAACAAAGATTCTTAAACAGGACTGAAGCCCCTACAGGTGCCCAGAAGAGCCAGACAATAAATTTCCTTTGCTGCCATTGCTAGTTGTTCCTGCCTTTAAAATAATATCAGTTCTATGCAGTTTGATTAGTGGCAGTAAATTTTTTTTTCTGGTCAATTTTGTTTGCACATTACTCATTACTGGTTAATTTTTTTCTTGTTTCTCGAAAGTTAATTAAACAAATAAAACGACAAATTAATTTTTAAATTTTTATTACAATATAATTTATCGGGGTGAGGGGGGATTGCTGTAACTGTTTATAAATTGAGAGAGGATGCAGCGCTGCAAAAGTTTGAGAATCCCTGCCCTTGAAAATTTATTAAAATCAAACCCCCACCCCCCAGTCAACCATTTTTTTTTTTCCATCTCACTGCATGTGGTAGCCCTAATTCTATGATTCCTTATTCCACATTTCAACATAAATTCTCATGACTGTCAAAGCCACTACACCCTGATTCTCCTCCTCTGTGAAATCCTATAACTTTATCAGAGCCATTTTTCAAAACTCGCATACCTGTACTGATTCTCTCAGCGATCCTAGTTTTAAAAAATTATAATAATAATTAATAATTTTTTTTTTTTAAATAAAAGAATAATGTTTAAAATGTCTTTAATACAGTGTTATGAAGGGCAATTTTTTCAAGAATTTTACTCCTTTAATGTGACATCACATTACTTAACCCCCATCCTCCGCCTCATCACAAAAATGTGAACCCCCTCCTACCATAGAAGCATACCGTCATGTATGGAAGGCCCCACAGCATAGATCGACAGTGGCATTTGATAGTTATCTAATTTTAGAACAGTTTCAATTCGACACCCACTGCAATTGTATCTACTTGTACAATATATACTTTAATCAATAAAAGGACTAGGCCCTAAAACAATTTTCATAACTTAGGGCTATGCTGGTCAATGGCAAGCTAGGTTACAAGCTGCCGTGCTGGTCAAGATTTTTGCTGCCTCCCATTCTTAGAAAAACGCAGCAGTTAGCTGAAAATATAACCCATCAATATGAAGAAAAAAGAGCCACCCGAGGCAGACTGATGTTGGTCCATTTCTATCAGGAATACTCTCAAAAAAGTGTCAGACATAATACTTAATAATAGGCCTAATGAGCCTAATCAAAACCATTTTATGACTTTTAAAAGTCCCTTGAAACGTTTTGGTTTTGTACCCCATGGATTCAAAGTTGATTGTTTACATTTGTTCCACATCACACATTAAGACTACCTTAAAGGCCCCTTGCAGTAGCAGGGGTTTCACTGTTTTGGGCCTAGCCTAAGTATAATAGTCATAGTCATTCATTCATACTTACTCATACTTATAATGATCTCATTTTATTAACGTACTTACTAACAAGCTGTCTAAACACTTTCACTTTATTTATTAACATATTTGCTGGAACTTAAAATTATTCTTTTAACAATTTGTCACTTTGCAATAACACAATTACCAAAGTTTATTAATTATTAATTATTAAATTAATGAGTAATGAGAATGAGGTTAATGTAGGCGTAGGGCCTAGAGCCTTTCGGCTTTCGGGCTCACGTATAAAGCGTAGGCCCTAGAAACTGTGTTTACACTACACTACAGTGAAACAGTCAGAGTATCCACAGTGACCGAGTGAGTAACACACACACACACACTTATGTGTTTAAAAAAAAAAAAGAAGAAGATGGAGCGCAGAAGTGTAAGTGTAACGTTGGACATCGTTACAGTTTTCAGTTTACAGTATCAGCAGTTGTAGTACTGTTGTAGTGTTGTGGGTGTGGGTCAGCTCTGCCGCTGACTCGAGACAAACGAGTATGAAATCACATTATATATATTTTAAACTCACAGTCACGATAGCATTTAAATCCAAATAAGAAAATTTAGTCCAAAAACCCGTTCCATCTCCCGGCAAGTGGCAAAGTACGTCTCCTTCCCAAAACAAAAAAAATGCTCAGCTAGAAATGTGATATTTGTTAAAGAAGTTCACTTCCGGGTCTTGGTGGTCGATAGCTAGCGGTTCTGATTTTAAAAATGTAAAAAAATTAATTAAAACATTCGTTAAAAAAAATAATAAGATATATTAGTAGTTAACACCCGCAATTCCTTAAACACTTTTTTTTAGTTTTGTTGTGGTTTTAAAGGTCGATTAATTTGTGGATCACTATTTAAATTATATATTTCTGCATTGCAAATTAATAATCATTTGTGGGCCGGGGAACCCGCAGCATAACTTTATAGTCTTTACAACACGGCCGACTATTTGGCTCACCTCATGAATTTGAACATGATTTTTAAAACATACAAACATACATTTCTGAAAATGGAGAACATCTGTAGGCTATGGGCAAATGTGTGTTGGGAAAAGAGGGGGGGGGGCCAAAAAATCCACTCGCCTGGGCGCCAACATTTTTAAAAAAAAGTGGGGGGGGGGTGGCAAAAATCGTCTTTAGATAGAACCAGAATTCATAATGTAAATATAAATATGGAATTATACTATATAAACCCACGTACGACACAGACAGGGGGTGCCAAAATATTTTACTGGTCCGCCCCATGCGGCACTTTTTTTAAATATATCTAGCCTATATTGAGGGGCATCATTCTCAGGCTTCGCCCCGGGCGCCTCTTATACCTCGGCACGGCCCTGGCTGTAGAATAATATGAAATGACTTAATCGGGGGTCATTAAAATATTATCATTATATGGTCTTGTGAAGACTGGACCTAGTGGACCATTAAAAAAGAGACCTTGGCATGATCCAATTGGTGGGAAAACAGGTGCAGCGCACGTGACGTGCATCGCGAAAAGAGCACAGTAAGACACACAGAACACTGCTGGCCATCCACTGGATCCTATTAATCTAGTATCATTCATCTTGACTACGCTCAGTGCCAGCTTTTGGTTCCGGGTACCTTTAAACCTGTACTTTGTGAGTTTTCCAGGGGGAAAATAAATATCGTCACATTTCATAACCGATAATTGTTTATTTAGTGGTGATCAAATAGTATAATTTGTTAAGTGTATTTTTCAAGTCTCTTGGCAATTAGTTTTGTCAGGATTTCGAATGTTACATTTAATAGGTAAATTCCTATGCAGTTTGTGCATTGAAGTTTGGAAGCTTTCTTGTGAATTGGGGTTGTTACTGCTGTTTCCCATTCTGTTGGAATTTTCTCTTCTTGAACGATTTTTAGTTATCATAATTCTTTGCAGCAAAACCTGTTCCAAAGAATGTTGGTGTTGTTAACAACACTATAAAATAAGGTGTATTTTTTTTTTTTTATCCTGATGATGTCTGCCTTCTCCCATCAAATTTCTTGCAATGCGACAATAAAGATTTTATATTTAATCACTTGATCAATTAGGTTTGTGATGAAATGATTTTCATTCGTGGGTGTGTGGGAATCACTCTCGTATGAGTGTCACACATGCTCGTGTGTATGAACCACTCTCGTATGAGGGTCACACCTGCTCGTGTGTATGAACCACTCTCGTATGAGGGTCACACCTGCTCGTGTCTAGAAACCACTCTCGTATGAGTGTCACACCTGCTCGTGTTTGGGAACCACTCTCGTATGAGGGTCACACCTGCTCGTGTCTATGAACCACTCTCGTATGAGTGTCACACCTGCTCGCGTCTAAGAACCACTCTCGTATGAGGGTCACACCTGCTCGTGTCTAAGAACCACTCTCGTATGAGTGTCACACCTGCTCTTGTCTAGGAACCCCTCTCGTATGAGTGTCACACCTGCTCGTGTCTAGGAACCACTCTCGTATGAGTGTCACACCTGCTCTGGTCTAGGAACCACTCTCGTATGAGTGTCACACCTGCTCGTGTCTAGGAACTTTCTAGTATGAGTGTCACACCTGCTCTTGTCTAGGAACCACTCTCGTATGAGGGTCACACCTGCTCTTGTCTAGGAACCACTCTCGTATGAGTGTCACACCTGCTAGTGTCTATGAACCACTATCGTATGAGGGTCACACCTGCTCGTGTCTAAGAACCACTCTCGTATGAGTGTCACACCTGCTCTTGTCTAGGAACCACTCTCGTATGAGTGTCACACCTGCTCGTGTCTAGGAACCACTCTTGTATGAGTGTCACACATGCTCTTGTCTAGGAACCACTCTCGTATGAGTGTCACACCTGCTCTGGTCTAGGAACCACTCTCGTATGAGTGTCCCACCTGCTCGTGTCTAGGAACTTTCTCGTATGAGTGTCACACCTGCTCTTGTTTCCACACCTGCTCTTGTTTAGGAACCACTCTCGTATGAGTGTCACACCTGCTCGTGTCTAAGAACCACTCTCGTATGAGTGTCACACCTGCTAGTGTCTAAGAACCACTCTCGTATGAGTGTCACACCTGCTCTTGTCTAGGAACCACTCTCGTATGAGTTAAGAGTCCTATCAGCACGAAGCCCTATCCATGCAGGCTATGGCTTGGTCTTCCGGATGGGTACTGGGCGGAGTTCCTGGAATCCGGCCTGTTTCTTTCAGATATATCGGGAGGGGGGGGGAGAGCATTGCCCCCCCCCCCCGGGAAAGGCAAGTGCCCTCCCCCCCCTGGATCAAAAATATGTCCAACAATAAATCAACTGGCCCTGCTGGCACTGCCCCCCTCCCCGAACAATGTGAAGTGCCCCCGGGGGGGGGGGATTTCTGAAATAATCTTTGCTAGTAGGTTATGTCATTTCTTGCACTGCAGCAATACGGTGATCCAGTAACCAGGCTATGTGTTAATGATAAATGGAAAATAAGGGAGCAACTTTTTCAACATTTTTTTGGGCTACCAGATCCCTTTGCATTGCACAACGTATTCAGAACGAGGCATTTACAGAAGCTTTGACAATGTAAATATCCATTGTGGATAACCTTATTCGTCTTCTCCATAGTCTACGCGCATGTATGGCTGGCGTCGACGTATGGTAAAGGATTCTATACAAACATATTATATAATGAATAATAACTATAAATCATGTATAAATATAATAAATCCAGACAACTGTTGGATAACAAAGATCCAGTGGCTACATCACCACCATTTAAGATGGGATGAAGCCAAGATGAGTAAATCTCAAAATGGGCAACACATGTCCCAGTTTTGGAGAGGCATGTCGAACGTTGAGAAAATATAAAGTACAGTGCATTAAACAAATTCATTCGAATCAGAATGATCATACATTAGTGTTTAACCAAACAATAGACATGGTCATTCAAACTATATACATGGTCATACAAACTATGTACATGGTCATACAAACTATATACATGGTAATACAAACTATATACATGGTCATTCAAACTATATACATGGTCATACAAACTATATACATGGTCATACAAACTATATACATGGTCATTCAAACTATATACATGGTCATACAAACTATGTACATGGTCATACAAACTATATACATGGTCATACAAACTATATACATGGTCATACAAACTATATACATGGTCATACAAACTATATACATGGTCATTCAAACTATATACATGGTCATTCAAACTATATACATGGTCATACAAACTATATACATGGTCATACAAAACAAGCAAAATAAAAGAAATAGAAATGGCCGTCCAACTCACTGGGTGTTAGAAATGGCCGTCCAACTCACTGGGTGTTAGAAATGGCCGTCCAACTCACTGGGGGTTAGAAATGGCCGTCCAACTCACTGGGTGTTAGAAATGGCCGTCCAACTCACTGGGGGTTAGAAATGGCCGTCCAACTCACTGGGTGTTAGAAATGGCCGTCCAACTCACTGGGTGCTAGAAATGGCCGTCCAACTCACTGGGTGTTAGAAATGGCCGTCCAACTCACTGGGTGTTAGAAATGGCCGTCCAACTCACTGGGTTTTAGAAATGGCCGTCCAACTCACTGGGTGTTAGAAATGGCCGTCCAACTCACTGGGTGTTAGAAATGGCCGGCTTAAAGGGGCGCAGATAAGTCAACTGTGATAACTTGGTGTGGCGATCTTAAAAGAAAGTTTCTAACATTTACCATGATATATATAATATATATAGTGGATCTACTATATGTGGTCATTGGCTAAATCACCACCATGTGCTATCCGAGACCAATGATTCAGCTGTTGTACATTGCTTTAACAAAGACTTCATCGGTAACATCATTCTGGAGGTTGGTTTTGTTTTTTTTTTTGTTTTTTTTTTTGTTTTTTTTTCAACTGTTCAATTGATTTAAAATTAATTTTTTTTTTTTTTTAATCGTTTTTAAGCCCAGGGATTGTCAAGAAACGACCGATCTATTATATCANTTTTTGTTGTTTGTTTTTTTTTTTTTTTTTTTTTTTTTTTTTTTTTTTTTCCAACTGTTTAATTTATTTAAAATTAATTTTTTTTTTTCTTGAAGCGTTTTGTAGATGTATAAATAGTTATCTCAAATTAAAGATCAAACAACAAATGAACTTGAAATCGGTGCTGTTGCAATTCTGTTAGCTTCTGCGCAGGACTGAATCTCATC